ATTTAGCCCAACCATCAAATGCATGTTAAAAGAAATGGTTACAACAGAGAATTTCGACCAAACTCTCTACATTCTATATTTCTATGTATAGATTGGTCACAGAGAAAATGGCTCAAATATGTGTTTGGTTAAGGATTTCTTTTATTTATTTTTTTGTAGATCTCCAAAAGAAGTAGTGTGCCTCTCACTGCCCTTGTGCATCCACGCCCCTTTGTCCAAGTGTCTCCTCCTCCCCGGTGATTACCTAACCTCCACCACCTGTGTCTTGTTAACTCCTCTGTATATATACCTGCCACTTCCTGCCCCTTCTCTTTTGTTTGTTACTCTGAACTGATCCATTGTTTTTAAGTCTAGCCTGTGTGACCTCACTGCTGTAGCCTAGCGCTTTAATGCTTGTCCATGTTCCTATGTTTTGTCAGCATGTTTGACCAGGTTTTCTTAGGGTCTTTCATGAGGGCGCTTGTCTCATGAAGCCACGATGTTAGAAACTGTTGCTATAAAGTGAATCTTCCTGAGAATTAACATGAGCTGTGCTAAAACAATTTAGCCATAGCAGCTAAATACAGGGTAACTGGTTTCTTGAAAATGTTTCACAGCTCAAATACCATTTTCACACTCAATCCTTCATCTACTTGGTCTACTCGGATAAAATAAACTGAATAACAATTTACTTTTTTTTCTTTTCCGGATTTGACGTTTTATTAATAAATAAGACACATTTGCATTCTGAAAAATAAAACCAATTTTATTTTCAGGGAACACAGATAGTAAAATACATTTAATTAGTTCAAAAAAACCAGAGAGTATTTTTGGAGGACACAATTGTATCGTAACCTCAATTGTATCGTAACCTCTGACTGGTTCCGTTAATGTCTGCCTCCTTCAGCACGGAAATGTGGCGTCTGTCTCACGTCAGCGATGGCTTGACCATTTAGACTGTAGTCACCTCAAAAAAAATATGAAAGAGAGTACAAGCAAAAAGGTGGCCTGGATCTGGAGTCAGATCAAGAAAATCCAAAACAAATTCAGGAAATCATATAAGGGTCAAATGATGGCAAAAAGTCAGTTTGGACCACATTTGTCTGCAGGGCGAAGAGAAACAGAGAAAAAGCTGCTGCTTTTTATGATGTTGAGACCAGACCTTGACTTAAAAATAAAAAAGGTCCTGACAGAATTCACTTTTTAAAGGCAATGTAGCAAAATAACACTGAAAATAATTAACTGAATGAAACAATGTTTGCTATCCTGGCAAAGAGACAAAAAATAAGTTCTAATAATGGATTAAAACCCAAATTTTTTTGACTTGAACATCAAATCATCGACTCTTATCTTTATCTTTCCATAGTCATCCATCACACCAGTCCACTGCTCCACCTGTGCTCTAACTCAGCCTGATTATCTCAAACTTGTTGGGCCTCCTATCCTGCAGGGGGCGAGGCAGTCGTCCACCCTGCCTGTCACCCGTCTCCCCTCCTTCTTCCTGTGCATCGTTCTCCGAGCCTCCCTGTCCTCCCTGTCCTGTGTCCACACTTCCCGTCTGTCTATCCTTGGGACAATCCCCGTTGTAGGTTTTGATGTAGTCCTCCACGCGCCAACCCTTGAACTCCGACGGTGCTGTGCAGATCAGACCCGAGTAAGCGACGCCCGGGTGGTGCTTCAGCCAGTACATCAAGTAGTGGATGTTGTAGTCGCAGATCCAGGGGTTGTTGTCCAGCGGGAGCTTCCGTAGGAAGTAAAGGTCTTCTAGCACGCCGTACTGGAAGTGGTGGAGGCTGTTGTTGGACAAGTCAAGCTCACGGAGGTACAGCAGGCCTGCGAATGCAGCTGAGAGAGAGAAGACAAAAACCAGAACAAAATGAGATCATGGAGCTGTAGGAGAACCTAAAATATTATCCTTCCTCCCTGGAAACTTCCGGTGTTGCTGCCTGTGTGATTTAAACCAGAGCTAAAAATCGTGTTGTGTTTTTATACAGCTCTTCTCATAGAGACGTCGACGTTTAACAATCCTTAGATAACAAGGTGACTGTTGGCATTATTAAGAGATCCCAGACATTGTGTGTGTGTGTGTATGAGTGGGAGTAATGAGACAGTGGAGACAGCTTCACACTGACTACTGTAGCCCCGGGACAAGCTTTCATCTTCAAAGGCAAAAAAACAACATAGACCGTACAGAGGTAATGGACGTAGGCACCTGGTTTTTAAAAGTGAAGCTCTGTAGCACTTTGTAATTTGTTTGTGCTTTGGTCTGTGTCACCAGTCTGCAACCTTAGACACTTAGACACAACCTTAGAAAAAGTGATCATTTAACCCTGCAAACGCCACGACATGATGTTGTTGTTTAACCTATTTATACACAAAGCCAAGATTAATACCATCACAGTAGCAGGCAGTATTCAGTATGACATGCTTACTCAATCACCGGCAGTGACTAAAGAAAAACTGCATAACTAAGCTTTGTTTAAAGAGGACAGTTACAATATGTTATTTTGCTGTTAGCAAGCAAGCTGAACATTAAGTATAACACATACGTTTGGTTTGATCGTGATTTTTTTTATAGCTGTGCTATGTAAACCAGCTGAAGTCGATGCATCAGCCATAAATGTATTTTTTACGAAAATTTAGTATGACACATACGTTTGGTTTGATCATGATTTTTTTTTAATAGCTGTGCTATGTAAACCAGATGAAGTTGATGCATCAGCCATAAATGTATTTTTTATATTAGCACAGTATGGCTAACTACAAATATAATCTAGCAGGAAGCCAATGCAAAGAAGCTAAAGAGCCACAGGTCGCAAACAACTGTTCCATCAGACTAAAAAAGCCTACATTTTAAATGATCACTGACAGTATGGCCAACTTGTCCATCCATATTTGAATATAATTAGATTTTGACGATCCTATTTAGAAAGAAATAGAGAGTAAAGCACAGGGGAGGAGTGCCGACGCTCTGCCAACCTTTGCTGCACGGGAATTATATAGGTTCCTAAACACAGGCAACTGCTGTTGCTTTAGAGGTTTGATTTTTACTTGCTGTCAAGCTAAATTAAGCTAGCTAAGTTAGCTTCTGCCCTCTTGCCCGCTGTTCTCTTCTCCCCAGCTTTTACTGCTGTCAGTGGAACAAATGACTTAAAGCCTGTTGTCTTTAATCCAACATCCCTCCGGCATGACACATCCATAACACATAGCACCCACTTAGACTAATGCCTCAGAAAACACTGTAATTATTTTTCCTGTCAGTGTATATGCACTTGGATTAATATGTGTTAAGTGAGTGTAATTTATCAGTGCAGAGATGATGAATTGAAACACCTCCAGGCGTGTCTCGATCTAAGCAAGTCTTCCTACGAATCTCCAACCAATCACAACAGCTATGTCAGCACAACCACAGAGAACACAGTGGCGGGTCTGTTTCTCTGTGGTTCTTAAGGCTATATTCAGGTGCTGAATTCTAATGCACTGTATTCAAAATGTTAAGTCATTACACAAGAAATGTATATGTCTAAAAAAGTGAAGCATTTAGACAGAAACAAAACGGCAAGAAAAAGTTACAAAAGCAATTAATGGTTAATGGCTATTAGCCTAGCAGCTAGCCAAAAAATAACTAAATAAATAAGTAAATAAAATAAGCCAACAGATAAAGATCAAAAATAGATTGGAGTTAGACAAAAGAAAATGTTTAGCGTTTGCAACTGTGGAACTGTAATTGTAAAACCTCAACTTTAACATAACTTTTTTTTCCTTCTTGTTAAATAGGTGTGCCTTATGTAACACCTTGAATTCCTAGGTTGGGCCTGAATGCAGCCTTGGATATGCATGACTTGGAGGAAGATATGGCTCATAATGTTTGACGTTGACATTTATAAAAAAAGTAGACGGAAATGTCCTTCAGCTGTGTTTGCATATATAAAGTCAAGCCGATTCCCCACTAGGATAATTCCTACAATGTGAAGTTATTAAACCCAGGGATACGCAGCAAATGGACCTTCACATACAATGCGTTTCCCTGTGACTGGTTAAATTATCAGTCTGTCAGTCTCAGTGGTGTCCTTCCTGGAAAAGCCACAACCATCTGGCATAACATTCAGCCACAACAGCAATAAAAGGAAAAACTCAACTTAAATAAATAATAACACAAAATGGCTTTTTATTCTTTTTTTCTTCCCTCTCTGGGAAACCTCCACATTTAAAAAGAGGCTTAAAACATCATCTACAAAACATTCCTTTGTGTTTTAATTTTATTCCTTCAAAACAACTCAACACGGCTTTAGAGACAACTTTAAAAAACCCACAGTTTCACTTTCCAGTTTTCAAAAACTCGTTCCTAGTTGATTGGGCCGTGTTTGGGTGCATTGGGGGAGATTGTTTACATGTGTTGCCGGTGATGAATGGAACAGCAAGCTTTTGTAAAGGATTCCCTCTAGGACAGGGCAGCGTAAGCCAAAACATCATCAGCCGGGAAGGAGTAATGAGACGGCAATTTTTCTTTTGTTGTTGCTGCCGTTGCAGTGTAAAGGCAAAGGAAGGAGTCAATGAAACGGTAGAATGTGGTGATTCATAAACGGAAGACACAAACGAGAGCCAAGAGAATAAGAGTAGAGTGGGTGAACTGTTGGAAAGGCAGGGACAGGAGCAGTGAAAGTGTCTAAATCATGGGGGCGTGGAGCTAAGATTGATATTTACTCTGACAAAATAACTCAGAAAAAAACAAACAATTCTCTTAGCCTTTCGTAGCTTGGTCGTAGCTCGGAATTATATGGGGCAGAGCATTTCTCTCATGTGTTCGACATCTGGTTTGTGATTGGTCACGATACAAGCGCTGATAAAACCATGAATCTAAGTCCTGGTTCTCTCAAGTCAGGACTTTGAATTTGTACTTTGCGAGAAATTTGACAGATACAAAAAAGCGACAGTGAAAAAGGCAGTTACCGAGGAATTGGAGGAGAAAAAGGAGGAGGAGGAGAATGAACATGGCTGAAGAGGAGGAGAAGGAAGATGTGTTGTTATAATATAGGATTTATCGAAAAGATGGAGGAAAAAGTGAAGATAGGTGGCACTATAAACAACCAGAGATGGAAACGGTGGATTTTGATTGGTGGTGACCAGGAACCCAAACATTAAGTCACATCAAGTGTCAGGATGTAGTAGATCTACTTTGGTCCCCGTCCTCCCCCCGCACTCCCCTCCGAATTGATCAGCCAATAGAGGATCTAGGTTTGGAATGTGGTTTACCAGTGTCTATATGATGCAAGTTGTTGCTGCTAAGGTTGAGCAGTTTGAGGTCTTTGGAGAGCAGGAACTGCTTGGCCCTGAGATGTTTGATACTGTTGCTGGACAAGTCCATCTTCACTATATCGGATGGCAGGTCAGATGGGACGTGGTCCAAACCTGCAGACAAAGACAAAAACAGATGAATGTTAGGCTTGGGAAAAATAGATACAAATCCAGCTAGAAGTTGTACGTGCGTCCCAGAGGATATGATGTCGGCTGGAAAGTCCAACGTGTATCGGATCGTCAGCAGGTTTTAATGTGAGTAATGTCTGGATAAAGGTAGTGGTTTCCAGTGTGGGAGAAGCTCCATCCCTGGACTTGTAATGACAATTTGCGTACAGACCTGTATGGGTGTGTCGGGATTTGGAGGGCGCGGAATGTCTAGGGTGGCACGCATATTTGGTTGTTTTTGCTCCTTGGGGGAGGCCCACAATGTTAGACCCCAATGAATCATTGACCTCAGGGGATGAAAATGCACCATTGTTTTCACACCTGGTATTAGATTCACATGGACTGAGGCAGATGTTCACAAGAAGTGAGTCAGAGTAAACAGACAAAACCCAAAATCAAGATATGGGACAACGTCCACTCCGTCTGGATCTTTATACATGCATAATTCCAAGACGATGTGTGGGCCGCGTACAACATTTCAAGATGGGGTCTTGAGTGAGACGACGTGTACAACAGTGTTTCCAGTCTCTCTCTCTCTCTCTTTCTCTCTCTTTCTCTCTCTTTCCTCACACCCACACACCTCCCCTTCGCCCCCAGTAAGAGACCTTTTGAAGACACCACTGTAATGATAGAAACAGGGATATCCCACATGGTTCCACTGCAACCCTCGCTGGAGCGTTCAATCACAACCCCACTCTGAGGTCATTCCTGTAACATTCTAGGGATTGGAAGTGGTGATAATAGAAATCTGTCACAGCCATTAGGCAAATGCCAACAAAGGAGAAGCTTCAGTTCTTCATATGCAGAGCTCGTATACACACGGAACATAGATCTGGATCTCACAGATTTGGATTTGTATTAACACAGTCGCTGCCAATGTGAGATTTTCATTGTGTTTATCACCTGGCATTGCAATGCCTTGCTGTTCCACAAGGGGCTGTCAACTGCAACCTTTAATTGCCTTGTTAAATTAGGGATGTCCAATAATATCGACCGACTGATATCATCTGACCGATATTAACATAATTATGTAATATCTGTAAGAAACATGTTTTTCCTCATTGTTTTCTCTTTTTATCATTGTTTTTTCCTCTTCTTCCTCTGAAAACCCAATAACCCAATGCCTGTGTTTGCCAAATAGGCTGGAATTGCTTGCAGGGTCCTGAGACGTTTACTACAGTTTTCGTGGCAAACGGCTGCATATATCGGTATCGGTTGATATCAGAATCGAAAGTGATTTGGACAATATTGGCCCGTCGGATATTGTCAAAAAGTTAATATTGGACATCCTTACTTTTATCTGCTTCATCAAAAGTATAGACTGTGTTTAAAGGAATAGATGGACCACAAAGATCAGTAAAGGCTAGTTCTTGGCTGGTTTATTATAATCCAGTTAAAAGGAAAATTAAAAGATAAAGCAGGACAGACGAAGGTACATGAGTACTGGGTCTGAAAACTCAGTTAAAAAACTTTTCTATTCATTTCTTCGAAAACCAAATGACAGAAAGTTGCTGCATCTTAAAGTCATTATCCAGTGAATTCCAGTCTCTGCTTTCTGTCTTTTTTTAATGGAAATCCAACACCACAACTAGTACAATTAGCACTTAGCTAAGTTTTGGGTGAGATTAGAGTAGTGCTGAAGAATGCTTATGGGAGACTTTTGTTGTGCAGATGTTGCCGTCTTGATGCATCACTAACACAGATGTTGTAACCAGTTTATCGTGGAAGCGTGTTGTCATAAATCACCTCCGATTTTTATAAAACGTAATCACCCACACATGGGCTCACACACACATACACACACGCATCGTACAGCTAGCAGGCTGAGCCAGTACAGTCAGGAAATGTAATAATTATTGTTCATGGTCATGTGACACCCAAACGATAGCAGCAGAGAGAACATCAGGCGGAGACATTAACACAACTGGCAGTTAAGTCACAGGTTACAAGCCGCAGTAACAACGTTTTGTCTGAGTAGCTTTCCGCAGGTGTCAATTTGTCCAAAACTAAAAAGAATCAACAGTTGAAGGGAGAATTTGCTTGAATTGTTTTTGGGTTGGTGTCAAATATTAGGGAGGACATCACAATAAAATGATGTGGCTCTGAGATATGATCTGAGTAATCCTTCAAATAGTTTTCAGTTTGGATAATCTTAAAAAAAAAGAAAAAAAAAGAAGGAGAAAGTGAACTCCTTGTCATTGTGACACAGAACACCACTGCACACCCGACCAACCCTAACCTCTGCTTTTAACCCATCACCAAAGTGAACAGTGGAGCAGTGTGTGGGGACGGTGCCACGGTCAGAGACCACCTCAGTGGTAACTTGGCAGCTGGTGGACTCCAACCTGAAACCTTCTGGACCCACGTCCACTGCCCCCTATAGTAGTATTCAATAATAATAAATGCAATAATGATAAATCTTTAGAAAACGATTTATTATAATAAAAATTGTTCAAATTTGTGTAGGAGTGACTCTGATCTCATCCTGGGCTCTCACACCCAAAACCTTTCTGGTATGGGTGGGAGCATTGTTAGCATTGTTTACATTGCATTACTGCCACCTACTGGGTAGGTAGCAGCACTAATGAATATTTTGTCTTTGAAAAGAGTGAAACATTTAATAAAATAAAGTAATATTAAATTCATCCATCCTTCCATCCATCTTCTGCCCCCTTCTGGCCAAAGTACTTACAGTACTGTAACCTTTGGTCCCTGAAGTATGCTGTTGAGAAAGTGCTCCAAAAAGACAAAATCAGTTTTTTCCTGTTTATTGACCTGCTGTCTCAAGTGTTTTGATCACTGGTTGTCATGACGGCCGATGATCTGGTAAATCTTTTGCCTGAAGTTCAGGCGGTTTGTCAGTTCCAGGAGCATCATCAGGTTTTTGTTTTCCCACCTTAAATCTTTCAGATAGAGAATTACTTTCTCCCTGGTTCGACATCTGTTACATACATCTTCACAGAACAATGAAACATGAAGGAAGGAAGGAAGGTGAACATGTCAGCGAAAGTGGAGGTCGTTTATTCATGACTGGACTTGGAGCTGCTTTTTGCTGAATCTGCTGAAGTAATTGCTTCACGAACATCAACATCTGCGCCACTTTGTGACAAATGTATCTGTGGGGGTGTGAGTGTGCTGCATTGGAAAGCACATTATCTGACTTCAGCTCAGCCTTAGCCAGTTTTGACCATTAGCCGTCACATATCGGAGGTATTTCATAACTAATCCCCTTATAATTTAAAGTAAAGCACCTGTTTTAAGTCAAAGTGTCGGGCCGAAATCGGTCACCCGGCAACACACTTTGCGGAGGAGCTGTGGTTTGCAAAGCTTACACATGTACAGTGAGAGATGCGTCAACGTAGCACATGGATCACCTTACTGCAGCAGTATTTACACAACGCTAAGTTGTTAGCATGATTTACTATAATACTGTAGGAGTGCTAATATATCTGGACTTTTATCTACTGTAGCCCACTCTGGGGACCACTGGTTAGTGGATTATTATATATGGGTTCACATGATGTGAAACAAGCCCAAAAGAAGACTGTAAACTGATAAGATTTCTTTCCAAAAGTCCAAGTATTTTTTTCTTGTTTAGTTTTTTTTTTTTCAAAAGTGATATACATCCTCACATCTGCAACGTATAACGGTGAATCTGGAGCAGGTGGTGCAGAGCGTCGGATGACATGTGGAAGGTAAAAAAAGAACTGCAGTCAATAGATTTTACAGCACTATGTGATTACTTCAGGGTCAGCTGTGTCGTAAATTCTCTGGTTTGGATCCACAGGCCAGACCCGACAGGAAGTCAGGTTTAGTCTAAAGTTTCTAATGATTTCTTAGCAATTGTAGATGCACGTAGTGCCGCTAAGTATTTTGTTAAAAGATTTTTGGTGTTTGTATAGTAGTGTATGTATAACCTAAATTATATTGGATAGACTGCATACAATAGACAGATACTGTAGATACAGTATGCTAATATAATGGTTAAAATTAAGCGATTCTGCTGTGTCTGTGGTCCATAAACTAAGCTGAAAATGTTGGGTTTTTTTAATTTCTTAATTAGTAATGTGAGACAAATGTTTGACTTTTATTTCATTTTATCTGCGTGTCCAGACGCCCAAGCTGTCTGTCCAGAAAAATCTGTTCCTCTGCCAAATTTAGTTGGGGATCGACGAGTCTTTGGGAAACAATGTTTTAAGCAAATGTCTGAGGTCATCTCTTCTTGAACATGACAGAAACTGCAGCCTGGTTCTGTGATTGGTCAGCAGATACACTGATTCTGACCTCTTTTAAATTCACACCTCAAACCCTGCCTGTAACTTAAATGACAATGAATGGTACATTTTTGTTTTGCTGACTCGACGCCTAGCACCAGAGTGTGTTTGGAGAGCTGCCATGACGTTACAAACTCTGCATGAATCAGCGTTTGGCTGTGTACTTAAACAGTCCAAACGTTAAACCCTGGTGGATTTAGATGACATTAAAAAAAGAAAGTTTGAGTTCTCGACTTTATGTGCATAGTCTTGCATGCAAAGTCTACGATCAGGCCAAAATTTAATTTAAGTTTGAGGGTTTTCATTTCAGGATGCTCCCATAAGCCTTAATAAGTCTTAACCAGAGCACGATCTTCTGCTGTTTTTAGGATGCTCCCATAAGCCGGTCTTAACCAGAGCACGATCTTCTGCTGTGCAGTTATATATCATTTATTCCACATCCCATAGCCCTGAAGAGGTACTATATATCAGCCCACTACCATACTGTAGAGCATTGATCCTCCAGTGAAGTACAACATGGAGCCTGGAGTCTGCTGTGGTTCACCTCAGAGAAAAAGTCTTCAAACCAGAGGGAGGGGAGACACCAAGTGTAGGGATAAAAACAGGGGGGGAGGAAGTGGAAAATAAAAGGGTTCATAGACCAGGAGATCAGCGTATGTTTCCACTCTCCTCGGGGCACGTCGCAGCCTTTGTTTGCCTCACTCTATCATTGTAAAAGAGGACAACACACAGCATTTGTTTCTTACTTTGTATCTGACTGTATCTTAGCACTGCTATCAGTCGAATCAATCAACTCTGACTCAAGGTTCCTCGGTCCCTGTAGTTGTTATGTCATAACTAAATCACAGATTTATGCCTTTAATTATTTTGTGATTATTGTGTGTTATTAATGTTTCCATGTAAAGCTGTTCCAAATAGAGGAATTAGCAGTGCGAAGCTAGCAGTTTCACCTGCTTCAGAGTTTTGTTAAACTGTATAAAAAGAGATTTGAACCAAGGATGTATGACCACACCCTCACAGGGTGACAAGCTTGTTGTGTTGTTGTAGAGGGCAGAGGATTCAACATAAAACATAAAACATAGCCGGCGTCTGAAGCAGCTGACTAATGTTGATGACCGGTCGTATTCTTGAGAAAGACACAACAAACGCACATTCTGAGGAAAGAAAAGGCCAAGTGTGGAAAATTACACAAGAACTGGTTTGAAGATCAACAGTCGAAGGTCTCACAAAATAACAAGTTTAAACTTCAACCAGTTTCAGTGTCTGTAAACAAAAACATAAGTCACTTTGTATCTTCAGTAAATCAAAGGAGAGGCTCTGTCATAGTTTGGGGCTACATTTTAGCCAGTGGTGGTCGTACCTAATGCAACCATTATGTTTAAGAGTCTTTAAAAAATAAAAGAAATGATTGAGTTTTGTTTATTTTCCAACATCCCAAAACCAAAATTTGGATGAGATTATGATTCTACGTCTTTTCTTAGTGTATATCGTAGTTTTAATGGCTTCCTTCATCTGTTTTCAAACATCATTTACGAACAAGTTCTCATGAGTTGCACTTAAATATTTAAAATATGACACATTTTCTGAGAAAATCCCATTAAACTTGGGTTGTTGGTGGCGTCTTATGTTTCCCAGCAGAACAACTGAAATAATGTTGATCATCGTGCATTTGTTGGCCTGATGTTTTATAGGCTTTTAGGCGGCACATCAGACCAAAGATCTGCCACCATGTGTAAGTGTTTAGCAGGGTTACAAAGAGACTTTTACACTTTTGTCACAACTGATTGACAGATACAAACAATTAAATCAAGGTGACGGTCGCTAACGTTGACTTCCTGTTGGGTTGCCATGTCTGTGTCCTTGAAAATAATAATGCAAAAAATCTGAAACCTGTAGAATCGGCGCTATGCACTACATCTGTGTTAAATTATGCAACATCCACACATCACATACCGCTTTCATGGTTTTAGATGAAGGAGTGAGGATGAAGAGAATCATTACTGGTTTGAAAAAAAAAATTCAAATGTGTGGAGAGGTGAATGGGAGTACAAGGCTGTGAGGGAAACAGAGAGTCCTTGTAGTGGTAAAGATAAAGAAATGATTCAAAATGTCAAAAGTAGAAAATGAGGAAAATATGCAAAGAGCTTCCTCCAGCATTTACGTCTCACAGATGTAGCATTGTGTGCTTTTTTTGGACTTTGACTGTGAAGGACTGCTTTCTCTGAAGTGCATTAACTCCCCATTTGCAGATGCATTCGAGTGGTACTCAAATCTGGAAGCTGCCTCGGCCTCGGCAGACACTTTCCCAGCTGTGGCAATTGATGTTATTTGGGCGTCAGAGGCCTTTTGTTTGTGTCTTTGAAGAAGACATTGATAAAGGAGATAAACAGACACAGCAGTATGGATGAAAGGGGTGAACGCCACCGGGGCAATTAATTATAGAGACGGATTATAAGCAACAAGCAGTGATGTGAGTGGCAACTTTTACAGACGGAGAAAGGGGGAGTTCACCAGATGTGAAAACTGGAGGAGCTAGTAGAAAATTGCCTGATGGCTGCCAGTTTAAATCTTCTCTGCAGCTTTCTGCCCACGCTGACTCACTGGCAAAATTAAAAACAAACACATGAAGTATACAGTAGGTTGACTGTTTTCTCTAATGTAGTGGAGAAAAAAACCATTCTGCAGAAAACTGATGGACAGAAATGTTCTAGGACGGAGGAGACAGAATCATGTCTCCAAGTGAACTTCAAAAACCTTGGACAAGTTCTGAAATAATGTCTTTGTCAGGTGTGGTCTTGTGTCATTCATTCAATCAATTCATTTTGAAATCGATACTAATATTGATATTGGGTCAGATACTTAATTCAAATACTCAAAAACATGCACTAACAGCGTCTCACTACCGCCACCCTTGCCCTGATCAGTGTTATTACACAAATAATAAGAAAAGTACACATGTTAAAATACTTCGTACTTGCGAATAATAAGAAGTAGAACTACACATGTTAAAATACTTCGTACTTGCATTGATTTGTTCACTCGTATGAGGACAACCCTACTCCAAACTGAACCTTGAGTGAGTGAGTTATGGAACCGTCGCTCGCAGCTGCTTCTAGACATGATATTTGTCTTAGAACTTTTTGACCTCTCCTCATATAATTTCAATCACAATACTGCTTTTATGGTGCTGTATGTGCAAAAGAAACATGAGACCACCCAAGAAGGGAACGCGTGCACAAAACGCAGCTCATCAAAACTGTCAAATAAATTAAAGACGAGAACTCTATGATCGAATCCTCTTTAATCAGTAGGAACTACGGAGGACGCGGCTCAGATGTAGCTAACCTGATTAAACAAACACAACCGCGCTGGCTCAGCCCAGCTGGGACCAAAACATTAGACAGCAATAAATGATCCTCATGGCCAATTTCACTGCAAGCAAAACTCTTGAACAGACGCTACATAAATCTCAGCATTTGTTTTTTTTTAAATAAGAAGATGCTTCTGTGCCAGGGTTACTGTTGTTTGTCTGAGGTGAAATTGCCAGGAAAACTACATTACAACTTCTGAAAAGGAGCAAAACTTCAGTACAACACACAGCAGGGTTTGTTTTCACTCCACTTTGGCTCTAAATGAACAATTTCTGATGCAGGCAAAAGGAAACTGAAATCATTGTGTGAGTCAAAACGTTCGCTCCTGTTCATTGGGTTTAGGGTTGGCCCTGTTCTACGTACATGGTTTCTGGAATGCTTTTTCTTTCTGTCCATCAAAGTCAAAAAGGTCCAGCAAGGACCTGTTTACGGCCCCTTTTGGGTTTGTCTGCAGATTTAATAAAGGCTCCTCACAAACCATTCATTCTTTGTAATGCACTGATGGCTGTTGGTCTGTCAAACAGGTTGAGCTCATTTTAGGCCACACTGATAGTCGAAGAATTTATAAATATGACTCTACAACTAGACCAGTGGTTCTCAATTATTTTCTGTCATGCTCCCCCTAGGGGACAGAATTTTTTTCCACACTCCCCATTAATTGAAAAACTATTTAGAAACCTGACAATATATATTTTCTTATCTGTACAAATCACTGTATGACTTGCTGCCACCTAGTGATTGGAGGGTTGTTCCCTCCCACATCTAACCTCCCCAGCCCCTAGCATCTCACTGCATCCTGTCCCCTCAGGGGGGCCCGCCCCACTATTTGCGAAGTACTAAACTTCACCAAAAAAATAGATCAGTTTTAAAAAACTCAAAGGAAAAGTGAGTTGTGGTCTACCTTTAACAACATCTATCCAACCATTTACAGCTGCTCAAGTACACAGTTGATACATGTCATTATTTACGCACACTTTGGGAAAACATCTTTAGGTACAAACTCAAAACTGCCAATTGTGGCAGTGGAAACCGCAGCAATCATATTTTAATTCTCCTTAAGGACATTGAGACAACGAGCTGCGGTCATCATGACATTTGTGTCTCTGCTCGTGACCATTTGTTTCCACCTGAGGTGCATTACGTTGCTTGCCCACAAGAGGGTGAGTTTTGCTCTTTCTGACAGTATTTTTGTTTGGAAATACCATTGCCCACAAAACAGGCTCGCTAATACCAGACGGCCTCTTACCTTTGTGGCTGCAGTCCAGCAGAGGTTTAGGGAACATGTAGGTGTGACACATGGACGTGGCCTCTGGCTTCACCTTGATGGGCAGCTTTGGTCGTCCACCGTCCTTGTCCCCCGGCCTCCTGTCGGCCTCACACAACGCATCCACGTTTATTTTCTTCAGTTTTTGGCCCGACAGTGAATGAGGTTCCGCACATTTGGCGTAGTTGCCCAGGTTGCGGTTGCTGGGTAGCTGCAGCTTTCTGATCAGGCTGTCCAATGAGCAGAGGCAGCTCCAGGGGTTGTCGTACAGACGGAGGTAGGTGAGGCGGGGCAGAGGGAGCAGGACGTCCTCGGAGGCTGTTCTTAGTCCGTTGTGCTGCAGCAGCAGGGTGGTGAGCTTGGAGAGGCCCGTGAAGGCTCCGTCCTCCATCATGGAGATGTCGTTCTGCTGGAGGTCCAAGCTTTTCAGTTGTGTGAACGCTGAGAACATGTTGTCCCTCAAGATCTAAACAGAGAGACAGGAGCAGTTAGTGCGATGATAGGGAACCCAGGAAACGCCCTCGGGCCCCGAACTGCAAGGCGCCGCAAGAGACGGCTGACGTTTGTGCAACACCAACCATTGGGAAGGCAGAAGGACCCCGCCATGGTCTGGGCTGAGGCCGTATTTTTAAGGGCTTCTGGTAACATTTCTTCTGCTGTCCAGCAGAAGCTAAAGCAGCTCCAGCACTAATCCGATATTTGTTAGCTAAAGAACAACATGGTGACTATTTGATCTCAAAGTTTAAAAATGGGGACCCAGAGGAGAGGCTCATTCTGGGGGAAAATATTATCAGAAGCTGAAACTGATTTTGGACTGGTTGTCCAAATGTCAGTTTAAATCCTGCAGATTGTATCTTGATCCAGAAAACCTTTCTAAGATAATAAATCCGTTCATAAATCAGTCATTATCTGTGGAATTTTGAATTTTGTCGTATTTCATCATTTTTTATACCAAAATCTGCAGTATTTAAATACAAATACTAAAAGGTACTTCTAAAAGTAATAATGTAAATTTGGGGAAATGGCTGGAAACTAGAATAAAAAAAACAAACAAACAAACAATTATTTTTTTGATTCATAAACTTTCAATTAACCACGTGTGGCAGGGCATTCATTTGCGTCTTTACATAAACTCATTCACCAGTTTCACCTTTATTTTAACAAAACAATAACCTAAAAAAGTCCTTTGGTTTTCACTCCCTGATCAGCTGCTCTCGTCTCACACCTGTTTCTCATCACCTCGTCAGCCCATCAGTCTATTTAAGCCCCGCCCACCAGAGCTCAGTTTTCCTTTGTCTTCAAACTTGTCAGCAGCTTCTGTCCTCGTGTCCTGTAGCATTTTATTATTATTGATTTATTTTTCTTTCTTTTTTCTTCCTGGTTTTGTCAACCTGCCACCGTGTTGTGTCATGATGGGTTATTTTGGGCTCCATGTGTTTGATCAGTGTCAATAGTGTGTGTGTGTGTGTATGAATCTGAAGGTGACTTACTCTCCAGTTGTACGTATGTGTGAAATGTGTGTTGATCTGGTCTCTGCAACAGCTGACTTTTATCTGATCAGCTGATCCACACTTTGATTTGTTGTTCTTTTGTTTGTTTGTTTTTTCAATCAGACATGAAAAGACATTTAATCTGAAAAAAGCCAAACCACTTAATTCTTCCACTTCCTCCACTATCTCTGTCTTTGAACACAGACGGGCTTGATTACGGCATCGTTTCATCGTGTTAATCACCCTATTTGAAATCCTTTATTCTCTTCCTTGCTGCCAAAGCGTTTTTGTTCCTCCCAGCACCTGTGATACACATCCTGTGTGTTTGCAAACACACACATACACAAAGCATTGTGCAGCACACACACGGTTTGATCTCAAGACCAAGTGACTGGTGAACAGATGTTCCTGGTATGAACTATTACTACAAGGTCGGAGCAGTTAGCTTAAACAAGATAAGTCTGCTGATCTGTGTTAGTTTTCCAGGTTTTTTTTTTTTTTACCTTTTGCTAGTGTGCATACCTGAATTTTGTTCCTGGCCAGCAGCAGGTGGTGAATATCTTTTGGCCAGTCCTGCATCACCGTGGTCAGCTGCCTGTCCTGACAGTCCAGGTACTTCTCCCCCGCCTCCATGTACTCCTTACACCCCTGGATCTGTCGTCTTGTTACCCCTGCCCTGCCTCTTCCTCTAACGCGGCCGCCGGTGCCCTTCTCTCGTGCCCCCGACCGAGGGCCTCTGCGAGGCTCGGCCGATCGCAGGAGCAGCAGGAGGAGTAGGAGGAGGAGGGAGGTGAACGGACGCATGGTGGGAAAGGAAGGGAGGCCTCTCAGTAATCAGGTCAGCGTCCGGAGACTGTTGCGGGAAGATTTGTGACAGGACAGTGGCAGCCGGTCACAGCTGTGTGTACGAAGAGGGAAAACAAAAGGAAGAGGCAAAAGGAGCAGATTTTTATTCAAAAGTTGGCAGTGGTTCGAAAGCCAAGTTCATATTTCATCAAGTGTGCAGCCAGAAAAGATTACCAAGCAAACACACTAATTACAAAAGTGTACGAAGAAAAAATAAATCACAACAGGAAAAACAGAACAGCAGTTTTCTGTATTCCCAGGGAAGACTGAAATGGAAATAGCTTCAGTCCCAAATGCACCAAACCAACAGGAATTTGTCCTGGTGGCATCTTGAGTCATGGTGAAAGGCATGGCAACGCTCCACATGTTGAAGGAATTAGCAGAAGACGTAGCAGGAGAGGAAAGTTGGGAAAGGAAAGAGGAAAATGGGTGAGAAGGAAAGAGAAACATTCTTCATGTGTTCACGTCTCAAGGGTTAAATGTGGTCGACTTTCTGTAAAACACCAAACGGGAGTTTACTCTGCATCTGTGAGCACGATTCTTGCTGCGCAAATAGCTACTGGTTGCATAAAATTCAGAGTAATTTGAGGCAAACTCAACCTAATAGGTTGGAATCACAGTTAGCCTCGTCTTTCCGCGCTGCCTTTAATCATTAGCCCTCTCTTCTTCTCCGTCTGTGCTGCGGCCAAGCTTCCTCATGGTTTGTTCTGCCAGACTATTAAACTATTATCAGCCGCAAATTTGAAGATGGGAAGCCTGGAAATAAAAATATTTATAGGTGAGTAATGATGGGGTCTGTCATTTATTTCTGCCACATACTCAGTTGCCCCTGAGTCTCCTTTTTTACTGATTCTGAGTAAATAGGAGAGTCAAGAAACTTTAGTGATCAGAGTCAAAGAGCTCAAGGCCAAGAAGTAAAACTACTGTATAAATACAGACCAGTGCCCCATCTGCAGTACATGTGTTACTTTGTAATGAGTATCAATTGTCTTTGAGATCAATTAAACCTTAGCGTAACACATTTTTCTCTTGGGATTTGTATTTCTGGTGCTAACTTTCAGACAATGTTTTAAAAGTTATTTCTGTGGATAAACGCTTGCTTTTTCACGACATAACTTATCCTCCTGTATATGGTACTTTGGTACTTACGATACTGGAGTTAAAATGACCTAGCTGCTCACGACATGACAGCAAATCAAAGCTGTGTGATTTGGTGATATTTTAACTTCGCAACCGTTGTGGCAGATTTCACAGTGTCTTTTAAATCAGACAGAGAGACAGTTTCAAAGGCGTTTTGCTACGAACCCTCTGTGATTTTTTTTTTTTTTTAGCCTTATGACTAATTCCAGCTGAACTCAAACCACAGCCCCCCCTCCAGCTTTTCAGTTTCTGAAACAGTGGAACAACCTTGTCAATGCAGATGTACTGTAGTTGTTCCATTGTGCATAACAGACTGGGCATGCTAGGGAGAAACAGACAGGAAACAGCTGAGAATGTACCGTATCTCTGTCCCAGCCATCAGTCATTCTAAATGAAGCGTCAACATTTGATTTTCTTTTTATACGACAAATACACGTCTACTGAGCTGCTGCTCCAAACACAACAGGAACTCAATGAATTTGGTCTTAGTCGTAGCTGCAGGCAGTCTGTCTTTCATCCTTCTGTATTATAGACATACCAGTAAGCCTTCATTAAAGTGTGTGTGTGTGTGTGTGTGTGTACTGTACTCTAATATAACTGCAAAACACATGTTTTCACGTCTGCCTTGCGTGATTGGTTGGCTGCTGAGAGAAGCATTTCGACACAACGCGAGAGTCAGTCCAGGCAAAACAGGCTACTGGACTAGACTGTGGGGGACAGTTTCAAGATGTCTTGAAAAGTTCCAGACTCCACTTGATTTTTTTTTTTTTTTTTAAAGAAGAACTTTTCAGACTTAGGTCATTTGTAAGTGTTCTTGTCAGTAAATAGTGGAATTCTCACTGCAATTTTTTAGTGAGATAAGTCGCACCAGCCAAAAAATGCACAACAAAGAAAAAACAAAAACAAAACCATATGTCGCTCTGGAGTATAAGTCGCACCAGTGCCTTCTAGCGGCTGCTAGTGAGAAAGTAACAAACACGTACATTTTCAGTGGTATGGGAGTAGCAGATACACATATACTGCTGCTAGAGGGCAGTCTGTCTGTGTAAAAATAGCGAACATTTGAAATTATACATTTTAATATATAAGCCGCATCCGAGTATAAGTCGCAAACCCAGCCAAAGGGGGGAAAAAAAGTACGACTTATAGTCCGGAAAAACGGGTATCTCCCTGAAGTGACCTGCATGTGAGGAAGCCAAAATCCTAATCTGCATCTTTGAACAGATCAAAACATTTGTTTCAAACAACTTTCTGTCCACTGCATCGGTTTCAACAGTAGGTTTTCAAAACCTGATCATAATCTCTTTTGCTGTAATTCATCAAATATCTCCAAACTATCTGGACAGTTTTGTTACAGCTCAACACTTTTCCAAAATTGCTGTTTTTTGCTCTGGAAAACTTTTTCCTTCCATACAAAACGAGAGAGACGGCCAGTCCCCGAATTGAAATTCCACTCAGGACTATAACAAGACTGTCCGGCCAAGCCCAACTTTGTGGTTCACCTCATGCCCATACCAGACCAAATTAGTCCTTCCAGTCTGGTATTATAAATAATTCTCCTCCTGCCCAGCTCCATCTGGTCACTCAATGCCAACCCCAAGAAACATTGAGGCAGTGCTTCCGCCTGATATTTCTTCGGTGGCACTGTTCTAAATTACCTGGGTATGGCTGCTACGGTCTTCTGACCAGAACCAGAATAAAGTCTGGTGTGGACTGAAAATGTGGCAGCAACATGTTCTCAAACTCAAAGACTTGAAAAAAAAAAATGGGGATTGGTCCTTGTCTTCACACTCAGGTTTGAACGATGCAGTAGGGAGAGTATTTTAATTACTGCATATCTACAGACACGTACCGTTATATATGATAATATGGTTATGTCAGTGTTATTGTACAACTACGGTCTGTATTCTGTAAAACTTTCAAATAACAAAACAGTTCAGCACTTCGTGGACAGAACGTACTCAGTGCTGCGTTAGCCTGCGCTGAGTCAAAACAAACCACTGGATAAATGTTCAAGGATGTAGGGAATTATTTTGGAGGAAATGTCTTGCAGGGAGTACTGACTCGGAACTAACCGCAAACTTCCAAAAACATATGGTTTCACCTTTTGCTCCACCAGCTTTAATACTCTAGGTCAGGGGTCACCGACCACATTTGTCGGAGGGCGAGAATTTTACGGGACAGACACCTCTGGGGGGCCGGACACTCAAATTAAATTAAATAAAAATCACATTTGTCTATAATTGTTAATAGGGATGTTCGATATGAACTTTTTGCCGACACAACGATATTGTCCAAGCACTTAATTTCCGATTCCGATATATCAACTGATACCGATAAAGGCCTGGTAATACTTATGTATTTATCTGTACAAACCAGTAGTATGAGATTAGTTAAATAAGCTGCAATGCTGCCATCTAGTGACTTTCACTTTAATTTACAGCTGTTTATCTCCAAAACTATTTTGGCACACATCATTTGGTGAAACCCAGACATTGCATTATTGGGTTTTCATTATTGGAGGAAAAACTAATAATAACTACATAATATGTTTATCTGGGCCGATAATGGCGGTCGGCTAATATTCTCGGACATTCCTAATTATTGGTTGATGTTTATTTTGGAATCCAGTTGTGGACTGAATTGCATGGTTTGATGGGTCAGATTGGGTCCACAGGCCGCTAATTGATAATTACTACCGTATGCTTTGTTTTAACCATGTGTAAAAAGGTAAAAATGCACGTTTTTTTTTCTAGAGTCATCTAGAGCAACTTATCGTGACATTTGGCAGAAGTCCAGTGAGTTTCAAATACCACACTGTCATATCCTCAAAATGAATGAAAATGAATCCACACAAAACCAAAGTGAGGTACATGACCCTGAAGGAGCACTGATGGAGGTAAAAAAAATTTTAAAAAATCCCAGAGGAGACGCTCACCACCTCGTCTACACATGTATGTTTAATAAAACTAAAAAATGTCCCGGGGCCCACATGGGTCATTTAGCTTCAGCAGACCAGAGGAAACAAAGGCTGGTGGGTCTCTGACATCACGGCTAACTATGCCGCCTACATCAGGAGAGAGGAGGTGGGTATACAGAAATACAGATGGAGGCAGCTTACAAAGTCAAAAACCATGTCCAAACAATGTGTTCAGTGAAAGGGAAACGAAAGGACAGCGTGTAAAAAACAGAAGATCAAAAAAAAAAAAAAAACGCATATAAAGATAAGACCTATTTCAACATTGAAAGTTGCGTGGGATCAGAACGTTTTATGATGTCAGCTGGAGGGAAATTCCCTCTGGCAAAGAGGTCAGTGAGTGAAATGCTGATCTGCTTCTGCTAATCCACCGTCACATGAGATGTTGAGCTGAAGAAGCAGTTACAACTGCACAACCCAAACAGGATCACTACGTCAACTCAGGAAAGCAAATCAGACCATGCGATTGATTTGGTTGCCAGCAGGGGGCAAAATAATTTATTTTGAAAATATTTAGAAGCCAACAAGAAAGGAAAATGTTTCAAAGCTTTTGGAGAAACTTCTAACATTTGCCTGACCCACCGCCTTTACACAGACATACAAACTAAATGGTTCTTGATTGTCTGTCCTCCAAAACTTCAACAAGGCGAAGCATATAGTACGTCAAACCTGTAATCACAGAGTCCTGACATCAAACCGGTAGAAAATCTGTGGAGTGAACAAAACCAAATTAGTCCAAGGGCAATACTGGATCTGGAAAGGTTTCATTATTTGGTCTTTAAAAAAAAAAAATCCCTGCTTCATAAAAACCCGCTAACAGACTTCTCTGCTTCATAAAAACCCGCTAACAGACTGATGACTAAGCAACATCTGCCTGTAAAAGTCTTAGTCATGTCACAGCCTCAAACCCACAAAGCCCAGGGAGTGTGCAGAGTCAGGCGGTACCTGCTCTCAGTCTTTTCACGCCCGGGTTACCTTGGACGGACCAGTGGAGGTGGACTCAGTTCAGACCTCCATTTAGAAACACAAGGGCCACAGTGTTAGGGGAAAGGAAGTAGGAACAAGTATGGGAGGCCGCAGAAACACCAAGACACTTTATATGTAGACGCTCATGCGTGTACATCCAAAGTAAGGGGCGGGGGCCATGCTTGTACTTGGATTCTGTTTCTTATAACGCAAACAATAGAGTGGGATACTACAACAGCAATGACAAAAAGTTGAATTTACTACTTTTGGTAAATTTTTGTTTACATTTTCGAGGCTAATTTAGTTTTATTTTTATTTTTTTTTTGTTTTATTTTTCTCCAGTTGAACACTTTCTCTAACTATTGTACCAGGCTTAGTATGTTTTAAAAGACATTCGTATTTGGATGAAGTAATACTCCTGCAAGCGAAGTTTTGTTTCTAATTTTAGCTGTTTCTGGCCATATTAAAATCTCACTTGTTATGCTACTGTTGGTAGTTTCTAGGGTAACTTTTTTTTTTGACCAATTTTCTCATTGTGATCTCATTTGCTTACTTTTTGATTTTTTTCAAAAACACTTTTTGCTAGTTTTGTCCTACTTTTGGGCATTTTCTGGGAATTCTCCTACTTTAAAATGTTGTTCTAAATGCTTGCTTTGGCAAGTCAGTTCTATTGCCAATGATTGATTGGCACTTGGCTTCTGGATCGAGTCCTAACCACTCTTTGGTATTTCACCTCATTTAATCCGTGCTCCTTGGAAGAGGTTAGACAACAGTGCGCTAATAGAAAATGTTAGCATTCGGCCAAGTTGTCTGCCTGGATAAACTGAATGCAGAGAGAGTTGTTGAGGTGGATAATTAGAAAAAAACAAAACAAATATATTGTTGGAAAGTTAAAACTTAAAGATTTGTTTATAGAAGGCCACTCTCTGCCAGGGAACCTCCCAGTGAGCAGCCTGCGCTCTGTTAGCTTTGGGCTGAGTTTCCATTGTGAGGGCATGTCCAAAGGTCTGTGGCTTGTTACCATGTACAGGATCTAACCCTGCAGCTGGGAGGCAGATACAGAGGAGGAATGATGAATACAGAGAATGGGAGGAAGGTGGGTGTTAAAACCACTGACCTGATGTCCTAAATCAGAGGACACAGGCAGCCGACAAGACAAGAAGCCGTGCACATCGCTAACAGTCTAACTGGAACCAGATCAGCTCTTCACTCCAACGGGGGAATACGTTTTTGACATTTTTTTCCCCGACCAGGTCAAATGTGATGAACCCAAAAATGCAACTGAACGAACCCAGTAATCTTTTGTCTGCCTCATGCCTCCCTTGTATTGCCCAATGCTACAGAAATAGCATCAGAAATTAGCATGAAAAATGGCCAGTTTCTCATAAAAACATTTTTTAAATCACAGATATGAGCAGACTCTGTGGTGGTCTGGTATTAGGTTAAACGTGTTCTGAAAAGTTCAGCTACAAAACCATTCATTTTTATCATAAAACGATCAAAACCCAGGATTACTGTCGAGCTGAAATGTGTCTGGTTTATAAATCCTGTGTCAGAAAGATCGGGGAGAACTGTGGGAAGGGTTTGTTCTCAGTGTCGTGTAATAGTCTACTGTGTTTTCACTCGTCTGTGTCAAAGTCCTCACGACTGCAGACGACTTCATTCACACCAGGGACAAAACCAGTTTTCATTGGACGTTCAATGACAATCAAACACTGACGCACAAATGCACATTGTCCTCACTGCCAACCGGCAATGTTGATTAGTTTGGTCCAGCGCCAGACACATGAGGACACACACACACATACTGTTAATTATGACTTGTGGAGACAACATTTTTATAATCATTTCATTATATCATAAATAATAATAACTGCATGTTGGAGCCACTTGCATGATGGGTACTAGCCAAGAAGTTGATGAAGTCATTTAACCAGTGTGACAACAAGGTAACATGTTTGTTTTGTTTCCCACCTGGAAGTGCTGTACCTCACTCTCCCACCAGGGGCACAGTCTGTTTGACCAATTGTTACTTTCTTTTGTTATAGATTTGTTTATATCTACATTTTATACCATTGTTTGAGCAGGAGTGTATTTATGTCACATGATTTTTGAAAATTGGTTAGTTTTTCAGCATTTTTTCTTTTTTTTTGTGAAGTTCACCTTTAATAGAATCTCATGACCGTGGGATTTGTGAGGTGTTTGTGTATGTTTGTCTTGCAAAGAACAAGACACCAAAGGTCTTACTCATTTTACCATAAGCTGAAATGGCAGAAATCCAGGGCAAGGGTCTCACACCTCGTAATCAACTTACATACTGCACTCGGCTGGAATTTTACTTCAGCTTACACAGGAACATGTACTGTGACTTCCTCTGCAGCTACACACACACACACACACAGAGGGAGTGTGTGTCTTGTAATTTTACCCATAAAATTTTATTCCTGGATGAGACAACAAGTCAAAGCTAACACCTGATTCTCCAAACCTCACTGTATTTCATTATTTAACAACCTGGAAATGAGACAAAGGATCCAGCCTGCATGAGTCACTGCGGCTGGGGTTTCTTACAAGTTAAGAGGGTCCAAGTAGGTGAATGAACCCCTTCATCTGACTGTGTTTGTACTTGAGTGATGCAACCCCTGAAAGTGATTTGCACTCGTCAAAACCAAAACTTGACAATTAGAAAGTCACTGTTTTGAAGTTTGTCTTTCGTGACTCCGGTAGAATCCCACAGAGCTACAGAGTTGCCTGTTGACGCAACCACGTTTCCCATCCTGTAACTAACTCACTATAGTCTGCTCTTCATTCTCTCTGCAAAGCTTTTCCTGTTTTAATTTTTTTTTCTTTTTTTGGGACTCTTTTGGTCAAACATCTGCGCTGCCTCTGACCTGATGAAGACCCGATAACGGACACGTGTTGTAATGTTGTGTTTCTGCAGGTCGTCGCTAACGTTTGAAGACGGAGACTCCTGCACAAATGCATTGCATTCATTCTTTTCCCATTCAATGTGTGTGTCTATGTTGTCAGAGAGAAACAAAGGGAGGGAGACACACATCTGGCAAAAAAGGAAAAAAAAAACGGAAATGAAATACTACTTTTAGGTTGATTCAATTACACAGCCTTAAGGAGTAGGATGGTTTTTATATTTGAGGTTAAAGTCTGCTCACTCTGTGGCTTGCTTTATGATAAAGCAAAGTTTGTCTTTTTTTTTTGTTTTGTTTTGCAGTTTTCTTTAAGCTTTAGCATTGCATCTCATGGTGTTATACAGTTCTTTTGTAGTCCTACCTGTACTAAATGAGAATCTGGCTCAGGATTGTCCACAAGGACCCGCAGATCTCCGGTTGGTCCCGCGTCCCAGGCTCCTAATCCTGTCATGAGCGCTGCGTCCAAGCCAAAAAAAATCCTGCCTTGCTGTCTGTAAGTTTAGAGCCTGGAGTGAGGCACAAATAAGTGGCTGCTCCTCCACTCACACTCTCTCTCTCTCTCTCTCTCTCTCTCTCTCTCCCTCTCTCACTCCCTTGCTTTTCACCCACTCAGCTGGATTGCACTGAGTGAGGGGAGAAAGAAAGTCTGTGAGCAGAAGAAAAAATCTGATTCTCAAAGGGGCCACAAGCCTAAGACTGGTGTAGCATTACTTATACACACACACACACGCACGCACACGCACACACACACACGTGTAATGCATTCTGTACACTGGTGAACATGGACTTATGGAGAATCTGGGTGGCAGACCACTAACTCTCTTAGCAACCAATGCTAACACCCGCGTCGGTTGTTCTGTGGCGTCATGATACATTTGCACAAGTGAGGCCAGATTCCATCCAAAAACAACCCGGGTCCACATCCAACATCTGCCTTTGATCGCCACTGCCTCGCTGGAACAGCACCCTCTTGTTGTTGTTAGGGTTTTCGGAGGATTTTGCTCTGCATGTTGCAGCAGCAGTTTCCAAATATTTCAACACTTGTCATTTGTATTTTTTACAAGTTGTGCATGTGCTCAATGTGAAATCAATTAATACCGGCTTAGCTCACTGTGTCTGAGCCGGTGGTTCCCAAAGTGGGGGACGGGGATGAGGCAAAGATGTTGAATTTGAATCTAATCTTAGTTAGTTTAGTTGAATGACTTGTTGTTTCAGCAGTCTGAATCTAATCTTAGTAGTTGAATGACTTGTTGTTTCAGCAGTTTTGTTGGTGTTAAATTGTTTTAAATAGCTCATTGGAATTGAATGGGAATGGATCACAACCACTGATAGGAGCATTGACTTGACATCGGTGACATCAGAATGCTATTGCGTGGCTGATTGGTCTGTTCCTCCAGTACTTTTACTGTCAGTATTTGAACAAAAAATCTCATCTGTGTCTGTTTGGAAGAATGGGATTAAACGTTGTGAACAGGTTTTGAAAGTTTCGGGATGTTTGTGTTGACCGTGAGGACACAGAAGGTACTGCATAATGTGTGTATTGCTGACACGGCATCCTTAAATCTGGTTTTGTCGTCACGATCTATTTAAATCATGTGTTCTTTTTCAGTAGTACAATTTGTCAGATTTTGTGCAACTAGTATTTCCAGTAATGGCCGCGGTCGCTCCTTATCCCTGAGACAAAACTGTTCTGGTGGGATTAGAGTTGTCTGCTCTGGAGGTTCAGAGTAATTTTGTAGAGACAAAAGACAGTAATACTTTCTCTCTCTCTCTCTCTCCCCGTCCCTCTCTATCGTCTTCTGCTGAGCAGCGCTGAGAGACACAGCTCCATATTAGGAACAACACACTGCACCGTCTGAAATGGATTGTTTACTGTCACAGAGACATCAAACAGTCAGCGGGCACTGGCCCTGACGGTCTAACAGTCTGCTGTTAGTAATAGTAGGAGTTTATACTATTGAAAAGTGGCGTCGCCTGTTAAATGGTCACACACTGGACTATGGTACAGTACAGTACAGTACAGTACAGTACAGTACAGTACAGTGCAGTAGCCCTGCAACACTTCCTACACACATACATCAGGAAAAAGCACACGCTGAGGACCAGAATCTGTGCCTGCAGAACATGTGTGTGTATTTGTGTGTGTGTGTGTGTGTGTGTGTGTGTGTGTGCGCCCATTAGAAAGGGCTGTGATTCAAGGCCAGGCCTGCGGTGGTGCCAAATGGTGAACACGCACCTTGTTAAAATACTTCAGTGCATTCTTCCACCTTCCTCCTGGGGGTTGGAACCCGGTGTGTATTTTTTATATTTTTCCCTGTTCTGCATAAATGTCAAAATAAAAACTTAATTAAGTTAATAAACATAAATCTGTTTATGTCTGTGCTGGGTTTAGTCCAGTTTTATTTAAATGCAAGTGTCAGACATTTGTTTGTTTGTTTTTTCTTTAATTTTTTTTAACATTTGGAAATTGCGTTTCATATCAGGTCATTTAATGTGTAAAAATCTAAATATCTGAAAATAGCTGGACTACGAAATGTTAACCACTTTACGTTAGCCAGAAGGATTCAAGTCATCTGCTAAAGGGAGCCAATATGCTAGCTAAAACGTAAACAAGTGGAAAAATAGCTGAAAAATCTGGCTTTCCCGAAAAAAGTTTGGAATACATTGTTGTACATTTAAAAGTAAAATGTACGTGAAAAATAACTGAGGATTGGGACCAGCTAATAGTTAGCACGGTCAAAGATGAGCTAAAAAAAGATATGCTACAGGATAACAAAAATGTTGTCCCCAATACAGCAAATTTTAAGCATAAAATATAGCAAAAGAGCTTAAATTAAAGCGAAACATGGACTAAATAACACTAAAAGCCAGCATGAATGTATATTTAGCGTAGCCAAAAGGAATTATACCCTAGACACCAGACTCAGTAGCAACTAAAATGCAAAGGATAGCTACATTTAGCTAAATAGAGCTACAAGTGTTTTGCTGTAAAATGAAGCGCGCTCTATGTCGCGAAGTGTTTCCTCACTGCTGTAAAATGAAGCGCGCTCTATGTCTTTGTCTGTAAACCAATTTATTCTGAGTGAATGCTTCAGAGACAGGGTGGTACTTATGTTGCGTAAACACATAACTACTACCATTCAATTAAGCTAAATGACATCTTCCTGCATTCTCGACCGTGGCCACAGGGTCAGAATTCTGTGAATGTTGCATTCAGCGACTTCCTGCTGCACACAACAACTCCCTAAAGTAAATATGTCTTCATTATTCCTATCTGTGCCTCAGCTGTCAAGGCCCAGTGATAGGAGAGTAGACATGGGTGTGGCAGAGATGAATGCCTGTGTACACAGCACACAGATGCTATTTATTACACTACTGTGTTGCTGTGTCACTAATAAACCGTCCTTACGTACAGCTGCTATGATTTTTTTATATATATATTTAATGTGAAGGAGGAATCAGATGACGGGTTCTTAGCCACAGCAACAGGCAGCTATAAGTAAATGTGCCTTTATAAGCCTGCCACCTGTTGAGTACAAATACAGTCGACTCCTGGGGCCCAACCATGTTTGGCTGGTGATCTCATTTTGACATCACAAATTTCTGTTGGCCCAGAGACATTTTTCTTCCTCTTCTAAAATTACTTTTTAATCGTGTTTGTTATGTATGTACTGTTTTGGAAATACAGAGTAGCCAGATTAGTGTGTGTGATGTTAAAAAATCATAATTTAAAAAGAATAATAATTAGTTGAAAAACATTTTTTTAATTATTTATCAATTACTAGATTACCGTATTTTCCAGGCTATAAGCCGCTCCCGGAGTATGAAGACTCTCCAAGTTGCACCAACCAAGAAATAGATAATAAAGAAGACAAAAACATACAAGTAGCTCTGGAGTATAAGTCGCACCAGCCAGCTACAGTGCCCTCTAGAGGCTGTCAGTATAAAAATAACGGACTGGTACATTTTCAGTGGTACAGGCGTAGCTGATACTGGTACACAAGCCTAGAGTGCCCTCTAGTGGCTGTCAGTCTAAAAATAACAAACATGAAATTATATATTTTAATATATAAGTCGCACCTGAGTATCAGTCACAAACCCATCTAAAGGATTAAAAAAAGTGCGACTTATAGTCCGGAAAATACGGTACTACTTTCAAATGGCCTCATTTGAACTCCAGGCAACCCAACATGGCGTGGGGACCCAGAGGTTGAAAAACACTGCACATGTCATGGTAAAAAGGGGAAAAGTCTGATTACATTTGTATTTGTTTTTTGTTTTACCTTTATCTTATTTATCGTTTATTTATTTTATCTGAATTTGAAGTATCGTCGAATTGACAGGAAGTCAAAGTCAAGTAACGATAAGTGTGTGCAGTACACGTCTGTCTCACTTCTTTTTTTTTACACTACAGCAAACATGTTTAATCGGTTAAGTGTATCTCCTGTTGTTTTCCATGCCTGTCTTTATTTGGCTTCTTCGTCGAGGTCTGTCCGACTCCCTGATGCGCTGCTCCCTCCCCAGTCGGCGTCCCATGCTCTCTGTCTCGCCACGCTTCAGAGCAGACTGGAAACACGTTGCAGCGACACATGTACACACAAACACAGCCGTGTGGATTATTTAGACAAACCAAATGACCCTGTGGTGCATCTGCTGGGGCCATAAACCTGAACCCGGTTCCATTGAATCCTCGTGCACCGAGTCCTTTAACAGTAAAGTCTGCGAGTTTGGTTTGGTCCTCTTCACGAGGCAACGTTTTTGGTCCAATAACTGCTTTATGAGTCTTATAAAACAAACTGGCATCCCATCCATGTGTTATCTGAGGCTTTTTCGACCGTTTTCACTCTTTTTTTTTTAATCGCGCTTCCACCCTCATGTGCTTTCAACTCTTATTTTCCTGAGTTTTTTTTTTCCTCAACTTTCTCTCTCCCGTTTTTCCATCCTCGTTGATTCCTGTGAGCCAGAAAATGGAGACATGAATTTACACAGGAAGACTTTAATCATGAGGCAAAGTTTTTTTTTGTCATGCTGCTGTTTTAAAATAGCATGTATGTGCTGGTATGGGGTTTGTACCCTCTGATTTGTACCTATTCCAGTTTTTTTTAACAAACCAGTACAAGTACAAGTTTATGTTTTGGTTTTTTTGTGTACTTGTCGTAGGCAGTATTATGTACACTAGTTGGCACAAACTATTTTGTTATGAAGAAAAAGTCATTAAACAGGCATCGTTGTCACATTAGCAATACTTATATATAAATATTTAAAAATAAAATCAATTTCACTTCCTGTATAGGTAACACAACTAACTAACCGGAAAGTGAGCAGAGCTTTGAAGCCCTTGTTAACAATCAAAAGAAAAAGTCAGTCCTGGTTTGTCAACATGTTACTTGTTTGTTATTTGATAATGGTTCGGACTCACATGAATTGCATGTGAAGCTGTGAGAGAGAAAAAAAAAACCTATAAACAACTATTACCAAAACTTGTTGAATTGAGCTTTGCTAATATATGTTTCGCTTTAAGTGTCAATAAAGAACATAAACGACACGGCTGT